GTAGGTATTTCGCCTCACACTTCCATATGCTGCTTTCTCCCGACCTCCCAGCAGCGTCCCAAGTAGCAGCCTCATCGCTGACAGATCTTGAACGCCACTCGACTGCGAAGAAGCCTCGAAGTCCTGCCTGAAGATCCATATATCTCCATCAAAAACTGCAGGGCATAGGCTTTCCATTTGTCGGTAGGCAGCGACACCAAATGTAACAACAGAAGACAAGGGCCAGGCAACAGATCAGTTTTATTACGAAAACCAACAGGTATTTATATGTATTTTACGTACATTAATAAGGCTCTGCCCGCAGAAAGAAGGCGGTCTTCTGATTGGTTGTTTGCAAACAAACGCAGTCTTCTGCTTTCTCGTTTTCGATATTTCTCGGAAATGCGAGCCACTTGTCTGCGAATCATATTTGTCCACGTCTAGGTCAGCTGTGATCGGTTGTTGAATCAGCCCAGATTAATTTCCACCAATCAGCGTAGATCGATGTCTACCAATTGGCTAGCAGCTTGCTCTCACCACACTCGTCCCCCCGTCAAATAGCTTGGACTGAATTCGGCTCGGTCTTCTCGGTTCTTGGGGCTTTGCTCTGTTATCTTGCTGTCTGGAATCTCGGCGCTTGCGGATGTCCACATGTTTAGCGGTGTTTACCATTGCGATTGTGTCTGCGTAACCCCATCTCAACGTGACCATATGTGGTCCTTCCCACTTTGGAAACTGTTTGCCTGACCCTGTCGCACATTCGTAGGTATTTCGCCTCACACTTCCATATGCTGCTTTCTCCCGACCTCCCAGCAGCGTCCCAAGTAGCAGCCTCATCGCTGACAGATCTTGAACGCCACTCGACTGCGAAGAAGCCTCGAAGTCCTGCCTGAAGATCCATATATCTCCATCAAAAACTGCAGGGCATAGGCTTTCCATTTGTCGGTAGGCAGCGACACCAAATGTAACAACAGAAGACAAGGGCCAGGCAACAGATCAGTTTTATTACGAAAACCAACAGGTATTTATATGTATTTTACGTACATTAATAAGGCTCTGCCCGCAGAAAGAAGGCGGTCTTCTGATTGGTTGTTTGCAAACAAACGCAGTCTTCTGCTTTCTCGTTTTCGATATTTCTCGGAAATGCGAGCCACTTGTCTGCGAATCATATTTGTCCACGTCTAGGTCAGCTGTGATCGGTTGTTGAATCAGCCCAGATTAATTTCCACCAATCAGCGTAGATCAATGTCTACCAATTGGCTAGCAGCTTGCTCTCACCACACTCGTCCCCCCGTCAAATAGCTTGGACTGAATTCGGCTCGGTCTTCTCGGTTCTTGGGGCTTTGCTCTGTTATCTTGCTGTCTGGAATCTCGGCGCTTGCGGATGTCCACATGTTTAGCGGTGTTTACCATTGCGATTGTGTCTGCGTAACCCCATCTCAACGTGACCATATGTGGTCCTTCCCACTTTGGAAACTGTTTGCCTGACCCTGTCGCACATTCGTAGGTATTTCGCCTCACACTTCCATATGCTGCTTTCTCCCGACCTCCCAGCAGCGTCCCAAGTAGCAGCCTCATCGCTGACAGATCTTGAACGCCACTCGACTGCGAAGAAGCCTCGAAGTCCTGCCTGAAGATCCATATATCTCCATCAAAAACTGCAGGGCATAGGCTTTCCATTTGTCGGTAGGCAGCGACACCAAATGTAACAACAGAAGACAAGGGCCAGGCAACAGATCAGTTTTATTACGAAAACCAACAGGTATTTATATGTATTTTACGTACATTAATAAGGCTCTGCCCGCAGAAAGAAGGCGGTCTTCTGATTGGTTGTTTGCAAACAAACGCAGTCTTCTGCTTTCTCGTTTTCGATATTTCTCGGAAATGCGAGCCACTTGTCTGCGAATCATATTTGTCCACGTCTAGGTCAGCTGTGATCGGTTGTTGAATCAGCCCAGATTAATTTCCACCAATCAGCGTAGATCAATGTCTACCAATTGGCTAGCAGCTTGCTCTCACCACATATCAACTATATCAGAAATTTTTGAAAGTAGACGACAATATTCTAAACGACCTTGTGACTGAGTTTCCTAAATTACAGAAATGCATTTATTTGGGCTATTTTTGCATATTTTATCACTAACATGTATGGGTTCAGCTACCTCCTATTGCTAAAATGCTTTTCATGACTTATTTTATAGAGCAGTAATACTCACAACTTATAAGTTTGGTGAACTCTTTTCGAACTTTAGTTAATAATCGCAATTATCTCTTAC